GAAGCCTGGTGTCAGTGAGGTCATTTGTAAGGTGGATGAGTCTCCGATCACCAATCAACAGAGGCGTATGGAACGCTGGGCCGAGCACCTTCACTCACAGTTCAACTGGCCTCCACCATCCGTCAGTACATGCAGTACACCTTGTTATCCACCGTGGCTCGTCCCACTGAATCCACCCAGCGAAACGGAAGTCTGCCTCGAGATTCGACGCTTGAAGCGCTTCAAGGCTGCCGGTTTAAACGGACTTCCTCCGGAACTATTCAAGTATGTCGGTGTGACGATCATTAACCAGCTGATCGCGCTGTTCGCAAAAATTTGACATGAAGGGAAAGTGCCTTCCTTTTGAGACCGATCGGTTATTGTCTCGATTTTCAAGAAAGACGCTCGCACTTCATATGCAAATCATCGCGGGATTAGTCTTCTTTCAGTTGCCTCTAAGCTATTGGCATCCATTCTGCTTCGCAGACTATCCCCAGTACGTGAATCATACTACCGTGAAGAACAAGCTGGTTTCCGTCCTGGCCGCGGATGCGTGGATCAAATCTTCAGGCTCTGCCAGCTCCTCGAACATCGCCACATTTACCACAGGCCCGCTATTGTTGCATTCCTGGACATACGTGCCGCTTTTGACTCCGTTGATCGACCTGCTTTATGGCGTTGCTTGCTAAAGAACGGGGTGCCAGAAAAATATACCGCCATCTTACGAGCACTTTACCTTCATACATCCGGCAGAGTGAGGGTCTATAGCAAGCTTTCCTCGCAGTTCGCTGTCAATAGCGGTGTGCGACACGGGTGCCCTATGTCCCCATGCCTCTTCAACTTCGCAATCGAAGACGTTCTGTCGAATGCTCTAAAAGGTTTCCAACATTTTGGCTTAGAGCTTCTACCGGGTGAGCGCGCGACCGACTTAGATTATGCTGATGATATCGCCTTACTTGGTGACGATCCTCATAGTATGCAACTCATTCTGGATCGTTTGGCGGTTGAAGCATCTAAATATGGCATGAGCTTCGCCCGATCGAAGTGTAAAGTACTGCTCAAAGATTGGCTTTCACCTGCTCCCGTGCTCACTCTCGAAGGTGCACAACTTGGACAGGTAGATAGTTTCGTCTACTTTGGGAGCGGTGTTTCTGCTGGCGGCACTATCAGTAAAGAAGTTTCTCTTCGTATCGCTAAAGCTCGATCAGCGTTTGTCAATCTGAGGCACTTGTGGCGTCGTCGTGACGTCTCATTCTCACTAAACGGCCGCGTTTACAGCGCATCAGTTCGCTCAGTATTGTTGTATGGGTGCGAGTCCTGGCCGATTCGCGTGGAAGACATGCGTCGTCTTTCTACGTTCGATAACGGTTGCTTAAGGAGGATCGCTCGTGTTTGGTGGCAACTTCGAGTAAATAGTAATGACGTTCGACGTCGCATCTTGGGGATTGCGAGTATTCCTTTCAACAAACTGGTTTTGTTGCACCAGTTGAGATGGCTCGGTCACATCCTACGCATGTCACCTGAGTGTCTACCGCGTCGCGCTCTATTCGCTCGTCAAGGACCTGGCTGGAGGCGACCGCGTGGTGGTCAACCTTCCACTTGGTGGCAGCACATGAAATCGCTGACCTCGTGTCTAGCCGCTGTTGGATCCGTACATCTTCCAAGATGGGGACCCAAAGATGAGGAGTGCTAATGGATTGGCACTGTTGAAGACATGGCCCGCAACCGGAATCAGTGGAATAATTGTGTACAGTATTGTATTGATTCACATGTTTAATACTACCAACGTTGAAAATGACAAAAAAGAGGAAAATCGGAGTGTGAAAAACAAACGAAAAATGTTTTGTTCTACTTTTTGTCAAAATGTTCCCCTCTTCCTGCGGCATATTAGCTACCATGCCACGACGATTATGACGCAATGACTGTCTCCTATCCACTGATCTCCATGGTTTTATATTGGCTCTGTGTCTAGTTGATAGACTGTTGAGATAAAAATATACTCCCCTCTTCGTTGGAGCATGTAGAAATAAGCGCTGATGTCGTTGCCAAAGGCATTCGTGAATTAGATCCGAACTCGTCCCCCGGGTCCTGATGGGTTCTATTCTCTGTTCCTCAAGACTCTGACCGATTACATTGCCACTCCTGTTTGCCGGGTGTTTCGCCATTCACTTGAAACTGGACGGCTCGCCATTGCTTGGAAAGTGGGTATTGTTAAACCCATGCAACATATAGTTCAGCAGATTAATTCCACTATCGGCCGGTGGCCGAGTGGTCTGCACGTTTGGTTTGCAACCACAAGGTCACCGGTTCGAATCCGCGTAGGGGTAGGCGTCCTCGCGGTATACTCAGCTCGCGCGCGACTGGTGGTGGTTGCGCGGCAGCGAAGCACCGTTACGGCGTACAGCTGACACATTATTTATTTTTATTTTATTTCTTCACAAAGGTGAGGATCGTCAAAATCCTGCCAATTATCGATCCATCTGCTTAATGTCAATATTGTGCAAGTTAATTGAGAGGATTCTCAACCGGGCACTTCTCCACCTCGAGAATCTAAACCTCATCTCTTGTGCGCAGCATGGTTTTCGGCGGGCACGCTCATGTTCTTCGAATGTACTTGTGGCCCGTGAAAGATGGGCGAAATCATGTGACCCTGGGAAACGTCTGGATGTTACTTTTGTCGACTTCAGCAAGGCCTTTGACAAGATTCCTCATAAAAAGCTCCTTTATAAACTACGAGGAATCGGTGTTTCTACGAAAATTCTCTCTTGGATCGCTGATTTTTTGGTTGGCTGGACAATGCGAGTCAACGTGAACGAGACTCACTCCGCTCCTGTGCTCATGACTATCGGTGTCTCGCAGGGATCGGCCCTTGACCCAGAACTTTTCAAGATCTTCATCAGTGACCTCCTGTCGGAACTTCAGTCGGATTGCTTGATTTACGTTGACGACTTGAAGTTGTGGATGGAGGTATCCTGTCTTGACAATGCGGACCGATTACAGGCTATACTTGATACGTTACATGAGTGCTCAGTCAAGTGGCGATTGCCTATAAATCGCGATAAGTGCTCGGTCTTCCCCATTGGTGCTCCTGAGCCTTTCGGGACGTACCACATTGGTGGGGCGTTGCTCTGAAGCTTGAGAAAGACCTCGGCGTGTTGGTGTCATCTGATCTACGGACTACGCAGGACACGTTACGAAGGGTTGCTGCTGCCAACAGGATGTCCCATGCCATACGAAGAGCCTTCTCGCGTTTGACCGGATATCTTCAGACTCTTGTTTACTTCCCATGTGCGCCCCATTCTCGAATACGGATTACCTGCCGTCTTCCCTCTTACCGAGCTCGAATGTGACCTCATTGAGAAGGTCAAACGGCGGGGATCGAAAAACTTCTTGGAGTTACGGGACTAGCATTGTGCCCTGCGACTTCAGCGGATGAGCCTGTACTCCCTGGATTATCGCCAACTTCGCGGTGACCTGATTTTCACCAGGCTTATCCTGAGAGGAGAGATGGGGACGGAGCTGCAGGCGTGCTGTCAATTCGATGCAAACAGTTCAAATCGAGCCGACAACTGGAAATTTTTAACCCCAGTTGGCTTCTGGTTCGTTCTGCTCTCGCTCTATCAACTCGCCTAGTCAATGTTTGGAACAACTTACCGAAGCATATGGTCGATGCCCAGACTGAGGAATGTTTCAATCGAATGTTAGATTCCTACCTTTTGAGTACAACTTGCCCTTGCAGCTTCCACTGTAGCTGTCACGGTCCCTTGTGGAATACCGCTTAGCAACGAATCGCAGCCTCTCCGCAATGATCAGGAAGCGATGGAGCTGACAAAGGATTTCTCTTGCTCTCTACAATCCTATAACCAGGGTATGGTTCGGGTGTTCCGTTTTAGATCTATCAACACCTAGCACCTTATCATTTCCGGACTCAACGATCCGCTCAAGAAGGAACAGCCAAGGGTTTTTCCTATCGTTCCAGTCTCATCTAAATGTGTGTTCGTGTGTGGTCTAGGCTATCTTTCCGTCAGTCAGTCCTCAGTATGGTCCCTCAGGGTTCGGTGCTTGGCCCATTGTTCTTTTCTCTGTATGTCAATGAGCTGCCCGAACTGTTGGGGGTACCATCTTTCATGTGTGCAGATGACCTAAAGTTTTGGCACATAGTGTCCGACCTCGATGAACCCCAGACTTTGCAACGGGCCCTCGATAAACTTTGCTACTGGGCTACTCTATGGCAGTTGCCCATAAACTGTGCAAAGTGTTCCATCTTACGATTAGGGCCAAATGGCCCCCAAACGCTTTATCTGCTTGACGGTAATGAACTACACCATGTTTCCCAACTGATAGACCTAGGGATCACGTCTTCAGAACTTAAATTCAGTGAGAACTGGAGAAAAGCTACGTGCAAGGGTTTCAGTATGTTGTGGATGATCCGCAGGTCATTCAGGACAAGCCATTGTCAGGCCACACTTGGAATACTGCATCCAGCCTTGTCCACCTTGCTTAGTCAGGGACAGGATGTCAGTGGAGAGAGTGGGAACCAAAAATGATTCATGGACTACGGAGCCTTTCTTGCCCGCAAAGACTACTTGAGCTGGAAATGTTCTCAATGCATTATCGTTGCCATAGAGCTGACCTGATCTTGACTTATCGCATACTTACCGGAAAAATCGGACCCGATTTATCTGGGCTTTTCCAACCGGCTCGGCTACCATCTGTCTGAGGTCACTCGATTAATCTACACAAACCTCGATCGGATGGAGTCCGGTCGGAATGTCATTTAGCACGCCGACTGCTGGATCCCTGGAATACAGTGCCCGAAAACGTGGTATCGGAACCAACGATAAAAGAGTTCGAACACCGACTTGGCGCTCTTAGTCCTTCAGTTCTTAACTTGCTCTTCACCTCTTAGCTTATTTGCCTTATTGAATTAATAAATCTGTTAATTTTTGGTTTTTAACGCTCTTATTACTTTCGTACTTCTGTTTCTTATTTTACCTGACCGATGCGGCGGGGACTGCCAATGCAGATCGCGTGCGTATTAATTGGTTGATCGTGGTGTGATTCGCGCGCGCTGATCTGACTCTTCTGGATTACAGTTATCGCGGACGAATAATACCCTCTATCAACGACGCGCCACGGAAGGATCATTCACGGGGATTTAACCTACTGTGCTAGGCCCACTTGAACTTGAGCTATGCTCTCTCAATCCCTGTCGCTCCTCGCCGTGTTACTTGGCTTGCGTGCGTTATATCAAATACCCTGGATAAAATTTTACGCGAAGTATGCTATATTCTGCGGTGTTATTAGTCTGGGCTCACTCTACTATCTTGTCGAGTTCAGTATTCGTGGCCGCGAATTTAAAAATGCTTGGTTGGTTTCTTAGCTCAATCTGCTCAAGATATATATCGACTCTAGGAGATTCAAAAGAGTGTTTAAGTTTGCAGGTTACCTAATTGGTCTAAAGCCAGTGGTAAAGGATGCGCATTATCTCACATTTGACAAGCCGTGCATTTACGTTGCCAACCACCAGAGTTGCATCGATGTAGCGAGCAAGTCTCTGTTCATTCACCTATACGCTTTTAGGTATTGCTGATGTGTGGCCCGAGAATTGCACCATTGTTGCTAAGAGTTCCCTGAAATTTGCTGGTCCTGTTGGCATCATAACATGGCTATCGAAACTCATTTACATTGATCGGTCCAAACATAAGGATGCTGTTTCTATGATGAAGCATGCCGCAAATGAAGCACTCAAACACAAAGTTGTTCTACTATTTTCGTGATAATCTTTAGGTATCTGTTTACGTTTTCCCCGAAGGGACGCGTACTTGCACCGGCACTCTGCTACCGTTCAAAAAGGGTGCATTCCATCTGGCCATCGAGTGTCAAGTATGTAAGAGAACAGGCAGTTTACTGGATCACTTATAGTTCCCCATTCAACCAATCGTAATCTCCTCTTACACCAGCTTCCTTAACTTTAAGGAAAAGCGTTTCGATGATGGTGAGTCAAATATCATCTACCCTTTACTCTGTTTCCATTTCTCCAGGCTCAGCAATGTAACTGCGGCAACTAACGAGACAATATTGTCTTGTACATTTGCCCAGGGTGTACATATTGACTGGCATACGTTTAACGTTCATATTTGGCCATTGGATGTGCAGACTTAGTTTTGACAATGGGCAACCAAAAGTCGGTTTTATGGAACAAGGAACCATCCTCGATCCATCTCTTCAACCTCTAAGGCAAGGAGACTGAGCTTGGTTGGCCTCCAACCATTGGCCAGTCTGGTGGCAATGAAGGTCCATCAAGCACAATTCAGCATGGCTCAATGGATCTTTGAGGCACGCAAACCACAGCACCACGTTAAGGTCCGGTCTCATCGCGACGACATCTTCCTATTACATCTTTTGGAGCTACACCCCATGTTTATTAGCGACCCACAGTAGTCATGTTTCTCGACTTCAACGTTGCTTTCTATTCGGTGGATCGATGTCTTTTGGGGCTGTCTGCTCACGAAAGGTGTGCCCGATGAATATGTAAGCACTTACAGAGTGCCGTATGCGCGAATTTCGGGCAGAGTGAGTGATGGCAAATCGTCGTCGCCCTCCAACCTCTTCAGTAGTATGAGACAAGGTTGCCTGCTATCATCCTTTCTCTTCAACTTCGCTATTGACGAAGTCATGGACACTGCGCTCACTGGAGCTGCCAAACTGAACTACCTTTTGACTTGTAGTGTGCTGATGACATTGCCCTCACAAACGTGCCAAACCGCAATAGGCAGGTTAGCACTGGCTGTCAGCTGTTTTGGCCTTTGCTTTAGACCCTCGAAGTACAATGCTTTCTTCTAAATTTGGCATGGATCTCCTCCTCTGACCCTTGGTGCGGATCAGTTAGAAGTCGTTCAAAAATTCAACTACCTAGGCAATTGTATCAGCGCCGGTGGAATTTTAAACGAGGTCACAAACCATATAGAAAGGCACGAGACGCTTTTGCTAACCTTCGCCACCTATGGCGCCTGCGCGACGTCACTCACACTGAAGAGTAGAGTGTACAAGACAGTCGTACGTTCGACCATACTATACTGTAGTGGCACCTGACCCATTAGATCAGCAGACAAAAGGGCTAGTTACGTTCGACCACCGGTGCCTTCGCAGTTTGGCTCCTATCTGGTGGGGACACCCGGTGGGCAATGAGCGTGTTCGACACTTGGTTTTTGGCACTGGAATAGTTAATGAACCGCTCAGTATCGTTATATCACGCAACAGACTCCGAGAGTTTGGCAACGTGTTGTGCATGCCAGCCCACCGACTCCCGCAACCTACGCTGTTTACATGCCCTGGGGTGCGGATGGAAGACGTGGCCGTGATGACTTGGTAAAGAAGAACGAAGGCCCTCACTCCGAAGTTGGCCTTGGTTGGAGCCTCTAGGCTCCCTGGTTGGGTTCCGAAGGACGAACATCATCATCAGCAATAGCAGTACATCAGCCATTTGAGCTGTTGCTTTACTGCCATATAACCATGATGACCTAAGAAATAAAGAATAAGAGGGAGAGAAGGGGGCTTACCTAAAACCTTAATACCCTAAGCAAACATTCAGGGTAAAGGCGCCTGCACCTGGTGTCAACAACACGTCACAAACAACTGGCTACCGTGCAAAGATAAGGCGGCAGCAGCAAACCAGCTTCCTTGAGGCTTTCACTGCTCCGTGTCATAATCAGCCATTACCCCACAGATAACTCAGCACCAAACACGCATCAAACAGGCAGTCTGACTAGAAGACGACAGCAGATGCGCCAGTGGTGTCGGTTGCGAGCCGTCCTGTAAGATCTCGACCCAAGCACATGGCGAGTCATGTGAACTCCAGCCCGGAAGGCGAGACGGACCAACGGCACCCAGTTTGGTCGTCAGTGACTTCATTTGCCGCTGCCAACCCAACTACTGTCCATCTCCAACCTTGCGCCATCCTGCAGTTGGTAGACTAAACAAGACCCTCCTAGGTAAATGATGACCAGGCATATGTAGTACGTGCCCGAGCCAACGCAACTTATTCAGTGCTATTTGTTGTTCTAGGGAGCTAGCATGGTTACCACTACCTAGTACTCGCCTATGCTCATCATCGTCGCGAACACGCTGATGCCATCCGACACCAGCAATGCTTCGCAGACAACGATGATCAAAGACTTGAAGGCGCCTCAGATCTTCAGACCGAAGGGGCGAAGTCTCACTATCATAGAGCAGAACGGCCCTCACTGTGGCCTTGTATACACGGTCTTTCAGACAAAGGGAAATTCCCTTCTGTCGCCAAAGATGCAGCAGGTTCAAAAGGTAGTTCGGGCTTTTGCAATGTATGAACTAACGTCAGTTTCTTTGCGCCCATCGTTACTGATGCTGCTTCCAGGATAAGTGAATTGATCAATCACCTCGAGCTCCTCGTTTTCAAGATGTCAATAATTGCCTGGTGGTCCCGCAGTAACACTGCACTTTTAAAGCGCGAAGTGCATGCCAAATAATGGGACCACTCTAGACAGGCTATTCAGGGTAGATTTTGTCGCCGCAATATCATCGAAAAGCGAAACGATATCGTCTGCATAATCTAGATCAACTAGTCTTTCACCAGGCAGGACCTCAACGCCTACATCGTGCGATTCCGCCAGGGAACACTCCATGCTAGAATTGAGGACGAAATTGAACAAAAATAGGGAAATCGGACAACCCTGACGAACGCCATTTGTGGTCGGAAGGCTATCCGATAGGCCACCGTAGACTGACGCGGCCTGTAGTGTTCGAGGATAGAGCACGCAGGATGTTCACATATTTCGTGGGAACACCTTTCCGCGCAAGTATTTCGAACATAATCGATCGATCGATTTAATCGAACGTACTCTTGAAATCGAGGAACATAACTATTGTCGATCTGCGGTATGCATGGCGTTGCTCTAGCACCTGCCGCGGATTGAATATGTGGTCTATACAACCACATCCTGGGCGGAAACCTGCCTGCTCTTCCCTAATCCGAGATTCTCGTTCCACATTGAGGCGTCGAACGCGAATCGAGGCCAGTAATTTTGTCACAATTGGCGTTAGGCTAATACCCCTGTGGTTAGAACAGTCTGTGCGACTGCCCTTCTTGTATATTGCCACTATAATCGATTCGCTCCAATTATCCGGGACGCTCTCTTCTTTCCAGACACATTCGAATAAGGCCAATGCTTTGCAGAGGACCTCACCTCCATCCTTAACTAGTGCAGGTGGGAGGGAATCCGGGCCAGCGGCACGAAAACAACTGATGGCTGTGATCGCGTTTCTGACCTCGGTATCCGACGGAGGCTCTAAACTAACCGTCTCTTGCTCTTCCTGCATCACCTGAGTAGGAAGAGGTCCGGGAGCATAAGGCCAGCTGAAGTGATCTTGAAAGCGTTCTGCCTAACGAGCCATACGGCGCTCCTTATTGTGTATCAGTGCACCCGCGCTGTCTCTGATTCTCTCACTGACGCCCGGTTTTCTGGGACCAGTGGTGCGGATTAGCTAAAAGAGCTTGCGGTAATTGCCTACTGCTCCTGCCTCCTCCATCTCTTGAGCCCTACTAGTCCACCAGCCTTCCTTGTCAGCACGTAGGCTCCGCTTTAGTTCGCGCTCAATAGTCCGTCTGGTCACATTGTGTTCAGATCTAGCCAGTAAGTTTCTTCTGGATTCCAACAGGTTCACCGACCTCTCGGATATCCAGTGACTGGTGCGGTGACGATTAAGAGTGCCACAAGCAGATGCTCTTGCGTCGTGCATGGCGGTCGAGATCCTATTCCACTGAAGCTCAGTGTCATTAGGACAAGACAGCAGAAGTTCGGTACGTAGTGCGTCTTGATAGGCTCGCTTGACACAATTTCTCCTTTGCCAATTGGAGGAGACGCTTGGTGCGCCTCCCAGTAAAGTTCATGGAGAAACGATAGCGTACCAAGACATGATCAGCGTCGACGCAGGTACTCCAGTACGAGCGGCAATCCAGGATGGAAGCACGCCACCTGTAACTTATGGCAATGTCGTCAATTTGGGTCAATCGCTGACCAGCTTCTGGGGGACGCCAAGTGACACTTCTCGTCTACTGTATCTGAAAGCAGTGCTACTAAGAAACAACTGGTGCTCCGCACAGTTGCAGCAGACGCTCGTCATTGTCAGTCCGTTCGGAGTTAAGCCGAAGGACGAACACGTTTGGTTAGATACACTAGTTGACCACAGAGCTGATCTGTAGCATTTGTACTGCAAGTTTCTTTGTCCCTCCTCTGCAACCACCATCTGATTTTCTAAGCATAATATAGCTCTGTTTCGCGGCAAAATAACCGGCTATTAACTCTCTGGAAGGATATCAATCCGTCACTGGCGACAGCTGGTCTGCCTCTGTTGCATGTTTTTTCTTATGTATTGCGGCATAATAGCTGTTTTCCACCCCTAGTTACTCTGTATGATGAATGTTGATTGCCCGCTGTCCCCTTTTCTATTCGCCTTCGCCACTGACGAAATCATGGAAACGGCGTTCACTGGTCACGACTTAAAATTTGTGGAGCTGCTCCCAGTTGGACTTTTTGACTTAGATTATGCTGACGACATGGCCCTTATCTGTGGCTGCTCACAAATGGGCCAAGCAGCATTAGACTGTCAGACATTTCGGGCTTCGCTTTGCACCCTCAAAGGGCGAAGCTTTTCTCCCAGATTAGCACGGACCGCCACCTTCATCGACTCTTGGTGGGGATCAGCTAGAAGTCGACCAGAAATTCAACTGTCTAGACTAGTGCTTTTCAAACTATTTTGAACAAGATGCACTTCTCGAGGACCATTAAACCGAAGTATCACTGCCAATGATCAAGTCAGGCTTCCGCCTAACGAGCGTCCTGTTTCTTGCACCGATAAGCGAACAAGAGCCCCCGGTGCTTCGACATCTGATTAACTTCCGCGGCTTCTGCAAAGGATTGAAGAAAATACAAAAGCAATCTTTGTAAAGTCATGCAGTACGAGGTTACAGCAACATTAAAAGAAAGAAAGGCATCAGCAGTACGCCGGTACGCAGTACCGACACTTCGCTGCTGCGCAACCACCACCATATGGGCTAAAGATACTACGAGGGTCGCCCTGCCCCTACACAGGCTCGAACCCGGGCCACAAGATTACAAGACAAGCTCGTTACCTATAGGCGACATGATGCAGTAAAATTACAATCATTCCGGAAAGTTCAGACCAACACCTTTGTGGTGCTACATTCTATTACCGCTGGAAGTAGCTTATTCCAGCTATTGCCTGCATGATTCACAAAGAATATCGCCATGATATTCAACCTAGATCTCTGATGCTTCAGCTTCAGTTGATATTCTCTCAGGTGACCTGACCTGCCTGGCTCAAACGATTCAGAATGCTAGATACCAATAAAACCTTTCATGATTTTATACGTCTCTATTAGGTCCTCTCTTGGTCTGCGCCGTTCCATTGAATACAGATCTAAGGCTCCTTAGGCATTCAGCGTATGCTTTTTCACCTTTACCTTCAATCATCCTAGTCGCCAGTTTTTGTACCTTTTCTATACATGCGACGTCTTTTCGGAGATACGGGGCCCAAGCCTATACACAGTATTCCAAATGAAGTCTTACCACTGCTTTGTATAAGGGAAGAAAAACCTCAGCCCTAGTGCTGTATGCAGACCTTTTAAGACGAGATAGCTCATTCTGCGTTTTATCAACACATACTGCCATTGCACTGCTGGTTTGAAGTCGTTCGCTACAATGATACCTAAGTCTTGTGCTCCATCCACAGGTCTAGAAACCTGACAGATGTTGGCACCGTAATCCCCTCATTTCGAGAAGTCATCAACTGGCAGCTCCCATTTAACCGACCAATCCACCACAATGCAAAGATCTTTAAATAACAGGTCTGGATTATCCCTACTGACGATCTCCAGATCATCAGCAAAATTATAACAGGTGTCATGAAGAAGAGGAGCCAAATTGTTGATAAACCTGAGAAGCAATTATACTTCTAAAACAGAACCTTGGGGAACACTACTGTGTGCAGTGCCGATGCTTGATCTAGCTTCTCCGACCCTAACACGAAAGTTTCTACCTATAAGGAACTCGGCCGGTGGCCGAGTCGTATGCGCGTCTGGTTTGCAACCATAAGGTCACCGGTTCGACTCAACGTAGGGGCTGGCGTCCTCGCGGTATACTCAGCCCTTGCGCAACTGGTGATGGTCGCGTGGCAGCGAAGCGCCGTTACGGCGTACAGCTGGCAATTTATTTTATTTTTATTTTTACATGGCTCATAGGTTTAAAAAGTGTTAGGGCCGGGTCTGATGAAAGGCCAGGGAACCTTATAGCGAGTTGGACTCGCATGTTAACCGCATATGTGGCATTTAAACAGAATGCACGCCGGCTCAAGGCGTGACATCCCACCACGCTTTCCGAAACGGCTTTGATAAGGAATTACGTAGAGGCGCAAAAAGCAAAAGAAAGGAAACTACGTTAGTGTGTATATCGGAATTGTTGAGAGTTGAAGAACAAGCTGCTGCGTCGGGTGGGAGGCAGCTGGAAGTTGACGGGCTAGTATGCAATATGAAATGGGGTAGTTTTCTCAGGGAAGATCGCGGTGTAGCTTGGCAAGATGACAGTCCAGGCAGTCTTAAAATTAGCCACAGTAGGTGTCGAGACTAAGTCGGCAGGCAGAGCATTCCACGGTCGGTAGACTCGCAAAACGAAGAAGTATCGCCTGCAGTTCACCCGACTGTGCTGATATGTGAGCCTCAGTGGATGACCACGTAGGTGGGAACACGATTGGTGTAGTGTAAGTAGGTGGCGGCAGGGATGTCCAGCGTTGGATGCCGCCCAAAAACATTTCAGCTTCGCAAGTAAAAATCGGTGCTTAACCGAGTCGAAGAATTTGCTGAAGTCAAGGTAACAGACATCAAATGAGATTCCATCGTTAAGACAGCTGGTTATTTCAGCTAAGAAACACGAAAGATTAGTAAATCATGATTTCTTATTAACAAAGCCATGCTGTTCCGCTCCAATTAAGTTATGATCAACCAAGTGCTCACAAATCCGTTTTGGAATAAACGTTTCCAAACATTTGAGTAAAACGCTGATTAAACCTGCAGACCTGTAGTTGACGGGTACGCTGTTACAACCCACTTTACATATGGTTACAACAGTGTCGTCCTTTCAGTCCTGTAGTAGCCTATCTTCAAGTAGTGACATCTCCAGGACAAGGTATTATATCATGTCAGCCAGCGGTTTGGCATTGGCAGGGTACACATTGTCAGGTCCAGCCAATTTATGTGGGTCTAAACCAGCCAGTACTCAGAAGACATCCGCTGCAGTAAGCGGAGTATCCAACATTGTACTATTATTTTAACAAAAATGAAGTGTGGGTATAGGACGCCCACCGTCCGTACGATGCACGTTTTGAAAAACGCGCAAAAGCATCTCTGACTTGGATACATTCTCTGTGGTGTGACTACCGTCATCGGTCAAGGAATTATCCACTCCCTGCCTTAAAGAAGGCTTTGAATGAACATAACTGTAATACACCTTATGTTTTGCTTTTGCATTTTGAGAGGTTGACTTCATAGCAATACTTTCTTTGTCGTTGCATCTTGATTGCTCTATTGATTCATGTCTTGTACTGCAACCAACGTGGAAACCCTACTGATTCTTGAAATTTCTTTCAAGCAGCATTGCGATTCCTTATCGCACGATCAATTCTGCGGCGCCACCATCTAGGTTTATTGATCTCTTAGGGCGCAGCGGTGCAAACTCGTCTAGTAGCTGGACAAGCCCGCACTTAACTAATCTCCACCTTTGTTCTAATGTTTCACGCTCCAATTCAAGAATCCAATTGAGCTGCAGTGCTCAAGCCCTTAACCGATTTAGGTCGATGCGACCAAGGTTTCTCACAAGTCGGTGCTTTCCCCGGGGGATTTTTAGTATTTAAGTAGAAGGTAATGATAGTGATCAATCTTACCTATGTGAGGCTTAACTATCACATTTGACTAATGGCCATATTTGGATAGTATAACATCTAGTGATAAAGGAGTGCAATCAAGACGATTTCTTGTCGGAAATTTAACCTACTGGAAGAAGGCATTTCCTTGCACCCATTATACAATTTCTTTCTCCAGCGTTTCCACGGTGTTAGAAGCATGCTACCAATCTGCGTGTGGGAGGTTTAAATCCCCAGTGATCACAAAGTTCGATGCAGCAACTGCTGCCCGTTTGAGCAGATTAAGAAGCTCCACATCCTCTACTCGCGTAGAGGAAGGGCTACGGTACACACAGATTATCATCTCTAACTGGCCTCCCACCCACAGCAAGCAAGAAACAACTTGGATATCTATTATTTTCATAAAGAACGGAGCTTCCCAATTTCCCCATTGGCTGTTAATAAGGAGACGTACACCACCACCTACCTGATGTCCAGGTCTATCCACTCTGTATTATGAATATCCCGACAGTAAGTCACTGATTGTATAACCCTGTGACCACCAGGTTTCCTTAATCGCAATCACATCAGAAAACTTCCAGCTTACCGACAACCCTTCCCATTTATCCCTTACGTTACAACTCTTGGTGTACCACACACTCTACATTCCCTCTTTCTACATTTGTATTACAGTTCCCCTAGGGCTCTTCGGCCGAGGGGTAATCCATTTTTTTGAAGCATCGGTTTGGTGGTTACTTACTCCAATAACTGGTTTCTCTAGAGTATTATCTGGTTCCTGTAGGCACCCATAGGATAAGTTCGGTTTTTTGGATCTACGACTGGCTTTTCAGTTGGTGTTTGATTAGACTCAATTGTCTTACTCTCACCCGCCTGTTTGTTTACCCTTACCCACCTTTGTAGAACCACTCTTTGTGCTATTACTCTGGACCGCAGAAGTGTGCCCTACCCCCGCAGTTAGCGACGCCACCTCTGTTGAAACTTCAGCTCCAGATGGCTTGGGCTGCTTGCATTCTTCCGAAGAGGATACTATGCCCATTTCTTTGTTTTTCTAACTGTTAACGGTGGAATTAAATCATGTGCTAGCACCACATGTTCAACAGGCACATGCGGGCCGTTATCGTTCTTTGCAGTTCCAGCTTTAGTAACCAGGCTAGCATTAGTACCTCCGGTTAGGCTTATTTAAGGTCGTTTAAGCTTCAAATTAAGCGTGTCTGGTGCTAAGTGATACCTGCCATTGGCATGACTCATCACCGATCCAGCCCTGTTTACTGTATGTCACGGTCTAGAGGATTTGAGCTGTCCTAGGATAGGCCTAGGAAATCCCTGCAGCCACAGTACTCCTGCTTCCCTTCTATTGCCAACACGATGTATCCTTTTGTTGCCGACATCCAGCGAAACATCGACTATTCGAAGGGTATTATATATCCGTCTTTTGTCTAAATACGTCGAGTTTTAGCTTTCCGTATCAGCGCCTCCACTCAGTTGTCTGCCCATAGCAAATTCCGCGTTGCGTACGCAACACTTTAAAGACGACTCTGGTTCATTAACTTTCGCACGTAAAAAAGCAACGAGTAAACTCTGGTCACGAATCCTATTTTTCGCTATGGTGAGTCTATGCAGATACTCTTTGTCATCGTTGTCCTTCCCCTTAGAGACCTTGGAAATGGGATCCAGTAACCTACCACGTACAAGGTGAGCGCAACTGTCTGCTAAATATACACAATGGAAGCAAATCTACTTCAATTGAGGAAGTCGAGCGTACAGATTAAGTGACTCTTGGTTTAGCCTAGAACAGTTGTTGTGGTACCACAACAGACATCTGTCACACTGAATTCCGCCTTTGACTACAACACCGCAACCGCTGTGGCCACATTTATAGGTGACTTCCATGGTTATGTTTTATACTTGTCAGAATGATCATTGGAACAAATAACGTTTACAGTAGACAAACTAAACCTCAATAGTAACCACAGAAAAGGAAAACAGTACGATGCAACAGTGTGGCGACGAAATGTGAATACTCAGATTAAGCCCATGTACACGTTAAAAGATAATTGGCGCGAATAACTTTCTTTTCGACCATTCTCATCAGGCGTGTACAATTATGGTGCTCATAATCAACTGAACATTACGCTATTTCTAGTCAGCGTGTGCAAGGTAGTAGGTGCCTGGATAAAGGAAGTGTACAGGGATTCCAATAAAAAACTACAGCGGTCCAATTATCTTAAGGTCACATGACTAGGCTAAGCCCATGGCAAGATAATGGTTTGCACCAGAGTCTTCTGCTTTCACAGTTCTAGCTGTAGCCGTCTGATTGCAATGACCTCAGTCGTAGTCAGCAAATGCCTTTTGAGTCATTTTGTGGTCCAGTTCGGTAGAGGGTAGAATAAAAGTGTCCGGTGTTAGGTAGGTGTTCTACTATGGAGCTGTAGACATTCGCTACCGTGCCGTGCTGCAATGATGCGGGGCAGTGCTATGCAATCCTCTTCGATAGACGTCTGGTCGTAGGTCCAATATACCTAGCACCACAGATGCAGCTAAATTGATATGCAGCAAAGGAGTTGGACTCAACCGGAAGCCTATCTTTGTGGCGTTGTGTAATGAGAGGGGATGTTACAGCAAGAATGCGGAATCGAGCTGCTGGATAGCTTTGATTCATTGTGGTTGACATCCTTCTGCAAAATAGCTGGAAGAGGATGTCTTCCTTGAAAGAAACTGAAAGAAATACATTCTTCTTTCTGACAGTCATCAAACACTTATGATGACTGCGGACAACAGAACTCATTTTGATGAAAGTAGCTGCATAGCCTTTGGTTTCTAGCGTTCTCTGAATAAAATCCTTCTCCTCATCCAACGTCTCTAGACAGCAGATTTTTGTAGCTCGATAGTATCAAGTACTCACTAGGTTTCTTTTGTATTTCATAGGAACGAAACTATGAAGTGCGTGTACTGGCCAACCCAAGTTATCTTTCGGAACACCCTTCTTTCAAGAGATACATCGTCTTGTTGCCGCACCAACGCATCTAGGAAATCAAGTTTACCATTGTCCTCGATCACACAGGTGAATTTTAGCGACGGATGCGCGTTGTTGAACTGATCCAATAGTTGAATTTGATCGGCTTTGAAGTCACAAACGATGTAGGTATCATCCATGTACCTGTAGTATGATACAAGAGAAGCAATGAGATGTTGAATTGGACCGCGTTCAACTTTGGCACAGAAAAGGTCTGCAAGTAACGGTCCCAAAGGCGATCCCATAGAAACTCCGTCTATTTGCCGGTAGTATTGTCCGTCGAATAAGCACTGCTTGTTGAAAGTACAATGTAGGATTAGATCTTTTACGTTCTGCATTGAAAAGTTGATACCGGTGTTTTCCTCGTTTAGGCGGTCGCAGATATATTTGAGTTTCTGTCAAAGAAACATTCGTGAATAGGGACTCCACGTCAAAAGAATGTATCACCTTCTCTTTTACGTTTAGATTGTCCAACCGCTTAAGCAAATCAAACATGTCGCTCACTGGGTGAGTTGATAATTTTTTGCACAACGGTTCAAGTATTTCCATAAGCCAGTTGGCAACCGTGAGTGTACGCTGCAGCCCGACATGTCATTTATCGGACGTAGTGGAATATTGGCTTACTGTACTTTTTGTAGCCCGTAGAGACGGGCCACACGGTGTTAGTCGGTCAAGCAAAGTGCCCTCCATATGGTTACCACGCTTTAGTTCCTTCAGCAACTTGATGAGCTTGAACTCATCCTGCGTGGTGCTATCCTTTTGCACTAGATCCAGCAAGCATTTACTTGAGTCACTCAAGATGGTATGCATCTTGGACATTTAATCAGACTTGTCCATCACCACCCAGCCGGATCCCTTGTCTGGTCGTGAGAGTATAATATCAGTTGCCTAACTGTCTCTCAATGTTCCTTAGTAAGTATCCTAGAACGCTGCGATTTGGAGTTATAATACTTGCATGAGGTGTACCAGAATACTTCTGAAGCTGTCATAGGTGAGTGAAGATGGCGTCAACTCAGTTAGCTGATGCATCAGATTCTCGAATTGTCTCTGAGTGCACTTCCCTCGTGCTCGATTATGCTGCGCAAAATTTTGCTTAGTTAATACACTGTGCTACAATGGGAGTGGGAAATTTAGTAAAACGAACAACAAATGCAGTGAATAAATAAAGCTAAAAGATCAACTAACTAAAACGAACTCACGCGATGTTAACGGCGAAAGCGGTAGTTATCGAAGGTAATTCAGCCAGGAGTGCACCGCGTGTTAATTCTGTCTTGATCACAGCGATCCAATAACTGTTGGAACAGAGTAACGTTCTCACACTCTGCCCCTTTGGAATATGCTTCCAACTCAAATTTGAATACAAACAGCAAGGGTGCTTTTTTCAAAATTTCAAACCGTTGATTTCCGTCGTATTCATTTTACTGAAAGGTAACTGATTGCTCATATAGAACATTCTCAGCAATTCATAGAGAACATCAATCTGAGGCAAACACTTGTTTTCCGTTTTTCTTCTACTGGCCGGTTTAAATCATATACATTTAACATACAAAGAGGTATACGGTTATTGTTTCAGACGTAGGTCAATAGTCACAGATCGATCGGGGTTATGTAACCACATTGACGAAACCGGCAACATGCATGCCCAAGTGGGGTGTCTTTCAGACTGAACAGCACTTAGGAGACCGCTTCGGGATCGATGCAAGCTGAACAGATATTGTTAATACATTCCTGCAAATGTGCGCCGACCGCAACCTTTACCTTAGCAGCATTACTTTCCAGCATAAACGTTCGCATCATGTCACCTGGCGCCCACCGAATTCCTCGTTGACCTGGACCTAAATTGCCCATATTGCCATCAGCCACAGATGGCACACATCAATCCAACACTGTTAGTCAATTTGAAACATGCATGAATTCCGATCATTCTCTAGTGCGCGCGTTTGACGCCTACTTTTCTCACTTTACAAAGCGCCTATCTTCTAACCGGAAGTCGCAGTCTGCAGTTCAACTATATTATGACGAATTGACCCATCAATTGTCAGTGATGAATAAGGTTGGTGAACCGAACACTAACTGGGACTGTCTCAAATGAGGCATGAAGAATGTCTTTGACTCTTGCTGTGCCCCCACCTGAGACGTAACTGTGTATGGATCTCAGGCATCCATCAGTTTGATCGATGTACGGAAACAGATTCCATTGGGCGCTGAGTTTCATCTTGTCCGTAGCTCTGAAACTACGTCTGACAAAGAGTCTTCGAATCATTCGGAAACGTTGGTGGATGGCAAGGACCCGTGAGATGTAGAAAGCCAGTGCTATTCCAGATTATCCAGAACACGGGTCTGAGAAAGCCATCCGTTAGCGAGTCATTAGCTTAGAAAGATGGACAGTCGATGCATTCTCTGCCTCATCGACTAGCCCGTTGAGCGGAGCATTTTAAAGAGCATTTCAGCAGGCCTGCTGCGACACTGCCGCTTGCCGAATCGCCTGAACCGGCTT